ATACTGTATCTTCTGCTGCCCTGTTATTTATAATCTCTAAATTTTGATGATGTCTCTGATCATTCCCAACCGTTTTCTTATTATGGGGAGGTCAGCCTGGTTAAAATCATTGTGGAGAAAATGGAAATTTCTGATTAGGATTCCCACCTGGCTTTAATAACACCCACTGTGTATACATAAGAGCCTCTTTTGCATGCTTTTGAGAGCAGCAGGGTGTTTACTGGCAACAGAGCTGCTAGTCAGTCAGGAGTACTGGCCCCTGGGAGAGGTGGAGAGGAAGCACCCACTCTCTCCACTTGCTGTGTGCCTGGTATGTTGGAACTGGCTGGGCATCAGACCATCACCAGAGACCTTCCCACAGAGTTCCTCCAGCTGCTGGGAGTGGTGAAGTCGGGGACCACTGTGAGAGTGGGGAGCAAGTGGTGTGAGCATGGAAGGAGGGAGCTTGAGCAGAGAAGGGAAGCCTGGCAGAAGAACTGGTAGAGAACGGATGTTGGCAGAGGGAACCTGGAGTGGACGAGGGACTGAGAATAAAACTCCCTTTAAACCCCCAACTTCTTACCCTTGTCTTCATTTGGTCTCATTGACTTCATAGGGAACTTGCCCCAGACGGGGAACCCCCTCCTCCCAGAGGAACAGTCACCCTCTACTCTCTCAACTACAAAGGATTCCTGCAGTATGTCAGGCAGGGGTGACTATGTAATTTGTAGGGCCTAGGGCAAAATGGAAACACAGGACTTCTTGTTCAAAAATTATTAAGAATGTCAAGACAGAGATAGCGGAGCATTAACCAAAGCACTGGGTTCTTCTGAGGCTGGGGCACCTGACAACTGTCCACATTTGAGACCCATGTGCCTGGCCTTGATGCCCAGGGCCGAGATGACTTCCTGTCTAGATTTCCTAGTGCAGCAAGGCCTCACCACCCAGTTGTCCCAGCTCAAATGTAGTATCTGAAGAATGGGAGAAATTGGGGGCTCTTCCCTACATTTTACCTGCCCAGAAGGCTGGGAAAATTTGGTGAGTTGAGATTTCACTTAGTAGGGAAAATAGGGAGCAGCAGTCTTTATTTTTAGTGATTTCTAGCAAACCTCCTGACTTGTGGAGACCAAAATCCTACATAGATTATCATTTAAGGATAAGGGCCATATATATACACACACACACACACACATATATATATATAAACATATATTTACAAATATATAAAAAATACATATACATCATTTCTTTATTGTCACTTTAGTGACAATATAAAACAAAACTTACTTCCATGGATCTTGTATTTTATCTTTATTATAATTGGGAGTAGAAATAAACCAGAGAAAAGTAGACTGTGTGATGAAATGAGCTCAATGCATTTTCATGAGAAGACTTGCAGTAATAACCAGAAATATTTCTCCTGGAAAGAAAGAGAAAGGGATCTCTAGTTAAAGCTGGAAGATGGATTGCAAAGCATCTCTGCTCTCTATAAGAATTATATAGAATAATTTTTTTGATAATATAATCTATAAATTCAAAAGAGAAGAGCATGGTAGCAGGTAAAGATATCGATGCCATTTTGGAAAAGAGAAAGCAGTTAGACTGCTTATCCTCACTTAGGAGAGCAGAAACATCCCAACCCAAGCTTTCAGAACAGGGGCCAAGAAGACACGACCAATTCAAGGCTCACAACTCTAGAGAGGTACCTACTATCTCTGCAGATGGGAGCAAAGAGTCCGAAATGGGAAGATGGCTCAAGAATGCTCTTGAAAATTAAAAAATAATAGTTGAAATAGAAATCGAATGAGAGAGTTGGAAGATAAAATTGAAGGGATTATCAATCCACTATAGTTTCAAATCTTTGCATGATGGGTTCTCATTGATCACCTAACAGAAGTCTAGATTTTTTTTGTGTGTATGTTTTCCCCAATGTTCTCTTTCAATAAAATATTGGAGGATTTCCACTGGTGCTTGTAGGATTAACCGATATTCTATCTTTATCACTTTTCAGTTTTTCCACAGGTCCGCATGACAAGTGCCGGGGCTCAGACTTCATCGGATTCATTTCCCTTTATGATGTATCAAGTGCAGTGCAGGACATCAGGAGCATGCCTCACGTGGGATAGGAGCTCGGGTACCACCAGGCCTCATTATCTTCCTGATCCACTGTTTGTCTCACTCTGCTTATCAAAACTTTGCCCACCCAGGGCTAGAACACACCATATATCCATCACGGATGTAAATATGTGTAATAAGCCATAAGTGGCTCTTAACTGGAATATAATCTTAGTCACTGTCCATGAATGTAAGTCTCCCCAGAGAAAAGACATTTTTCCTGTTTACACTCTATACCCAATATCTGGAAAAGAAGGTGGAACATGGTGTGGCACTCACTAAATGTTTATTAAGCAAATGAGTGAATTCTGTGTTGCAAAAGACCCTGGTTAGAAGGAGAAATCATTTTCAAAATAGAGACATAGGTCCTTTCCTCAATGTATTAAAGAAGTGCGACACGGTTCCAATGGGAAAGTAAGCACAACTGCTAGTGTGGGCACTGAAATTGTATTGGTGATAGATATAAGAGGTCACCCACTTGATTTTATATTAGGGTGAACATAATTTAGGATCAACAGCACACTTTTCTGAGTGAGAAGAGGATGATCAAAATAACTATCAGGCATTAATTTATATACAACACGCATAAAGCGTGAATGTTCCAGGCAACCAGGATATGTGATCACCCCATCTGGGTTCTCCTTATATTTATATTTTCCAATCAACCAAAATGGTAACATAAAATGATTTAAAAATTCTTATAGAATATTCTTTCTTGTGGATTTCCACATCTGAGAAACAGTATCATAAAGGCCATTCCAGCATTAAAATGAAAATTGGATAAGCAGGCCTCTAAGAGATTTAATTATCCTGTGAGTGGAAAATAGAAAAAAGTGTGTCTTTAGGAGAATGATTTTCAGGGAGACTATACTGAGCTACGATACGGTGTCCACTGAACCATTTTCCTTAATGCACCTAGTGATTTGTATAAGTAATTCCATGTCTGCATCTGGGTACTGGCCTGAGGTCGAGACCTTTTCCCTGTCCCCTGGCCCATGGTTCTCCATTATGTATTTTTCTTCTCTCATAATCTTTCATCTTTTTGTTTTAAAGGATCAGTTTTCTCTTGTGCACAAAGCTGGGACCCAGGGGCTGCATACAGAAGGGCCAGCACCCCCTAACAGGCTGGGTGAGGGGGCTGCCAGGTGATGAATGGATGCATGTGGAGCAAGGTAATAAACCAGCACCCCAGTCATGTAATCTTCCATTAAAATGAAATGCGCACCAGGCATGCGGCGTTTCTGCAGCTCCTACCCTCTCCCATAGAAGATCATGAATAAAGAGGGAAGTGTGCTGCTGACAGATGCCAGCATGCATAAAGGACACTTCCTATAAAGGCGAAGCTCCGGCTAACAGATGGACTAAAGATGTGAGATGCAGAAAGATTTACCCATCTAAATAATTCAAGGGAATGTCGTATGGCAAGCTACTGCTTTTCGGAGGGAGCCGGCAGAAGGTGCAGATGGGAAGGCAGGCCAAGCCTTTCCCATAAACCCATTAAGAACAGTACTTGTCTGAGCGACAGTATGTTGCAGTGGCCCAGGGAGAGGCCAGCAAATGAGAAATTTGCTTCTGGAGTTTGTCCCACAAGGTCAAGAGCATATTTAATAGTGAAGGTTGCGGCGTTTAATGAGAATGCAAAGGGGTGTTACATGGTGCACGCTCACCTCCTGCCCTCTTCGGTTCTCTCCTATTCCTGAGTTCTTTGTCTTGTGAGAACTGAAGTGGTGAGAGGTGGAGATGCCCAAAGCCCTCATCAGAGGTCTAGCAAGGCTCCATCTTCTTAGGTAAACAGACAAGAATTCTGCATTCAAGAGCCGAATGACATGTGGCGCGACTGCTTCCTATAAACGTTTGTCGGAAACATAGGACCACTGTGTTTACTTTCCTGTATTTGACCACCGATGTCCCCAGGCCCTGCTGACCCTTGCTGTTAGCCTCCTTGTGAAACGTTCAGGCCTGTGTCATTGCACATAGTTGGGTTTATTTTCCTGTATTTGACCTGTTCCCGACTGTGTTACACTCAACTTGGGCAAAAGGGACGCTTCCTTTCCACCAGGACTTGCTCCGAGTAGGTGCCCAACAAATACTTCTTGAAAATGAAGCCCTTTCAACTTAAAGGAGCCTCCCCTTAAGAGCCCCCCATCCTGCACAGCTGTGCCAGCATGTCCACATCTCAGGCAAGATGAGATGAGGTGTCGTGGACAGGAGAGCTGGCCCTGGTTAGCTGGGCTACCGTGGACTGGACAAAGCCTTCATTCCTTAATGTAGAGCAAATAACAAAGTGATTTCTAATCCCCTTTCCAGCCCCAGTACCTACTTACTGGGGACCAAACAGCAGGCAGTCGGCATCCAGCAAGGGGTGGGTCCGCAGCCTACAGACTTTCTTTCCTCCCATGGCCATTGCTGCACCACCCAGAGGTGGTGTTCACAGCACGTCCAGGATGGAAAACCTAAAGGCCGTGGGATAAGCATTCCATTTCCATGTATTTTAAGATAATAAAGGACTGCCTTTAATTTTGAGACCATCAGATTTTGGTGTCTCCTCATATGAAATGAAAGAAACAGCAAAATAATAGATTTTGCTTTGTTTAACTGCCTTGTAAAAAACAGAAAAGTCAGTGCCCCTGTGTATTCTTCCCCTGCCGTCAACCTTTTCTTCCTGGTGTCTTAATTTTATTAGTTAGGCATTTAAAAAGTCTTAGTAGAACTGCATCTGTAAGCCCAGATAGAAGGCACGGGTTCTCCCTTCCTCCAAACGAGTTTCATTGATGCTCACTGTGGATAGCTTTTGAGAAATAAATATTGATTTCATGGGTTTTTGTGGCTGTAGCTTGCCAATTACCAAAAAATCATGTCGTTAAAAAGCCACACGAAAATCAAATTGTTGCCAGTGAGGTCTCATTTTTCCAGTTCCCTAAATGATCCATTCAAGGACTCTCTTTTCCTGCTTTAATTAGTTTTCACCTGGCAGCTGCTGTCCATACTGCTCAGCCTTCAGTTTACCTCTCTACTGGCGCATGAGTTAGTTCATAATCTAAAACCCATCAGAAGCCACAAGGAAAACAACTTGGGAAGGAGCGCTGAGGTGGATCCTTCTGTAGAGCAGATCATCTTTGTAAGTCACCTTTCATTCGTCCAGTTTATAAATGTCAGCTATCTTGCAGAAAGCTCCATGAATTTGGACTGTTGCTAATTCCAGTTGCTAGTTCACGTGTTGATCTCTGTGCTCATTTCCCTCGGTCTCTTCTGTGTTAACACTCGTGTGTGTGTGTGTGTGCGTGTGTGTGTGTGTGTCCACCAATAATCTGGGAAGGTTTTTTTTTGTCTTCATTTTTTTTTCAAGGTTTTTTCTTGAATCCTTTTTGACTTTGGCCCATTTAGAGCATTTCCCGCTGGGGGCAAAGACACAAGGTTTACAGCTTTAAAGTCATGGCCAGAGGCACCCTTTCTGCTTCCTTGGCATTGGAAATGGCACAAAAAACTTCTTCATGTCTGGTATGACGTGTCACCTCATTGGTGACCGACATGGCAGTGCTGCACAGTATGGATACGAGTTGCTATCCCCTTGCTCATCACATCCCACAAAAAGGGTCTTGCTGGCCGTGATGCACCAGGCTCCATTTTTAAAACATCATGACAGTTTGTAGTATTCCAAAGGCTTTTCTTCCAATGTCACCAAATCCTTGACCAGCTCTCATGACCTGATACCCTGGTGCAGGCAGGAACGGCAAATATTGATCTCAGGCCAGCTGCGTGGTGGGAAAAATGAGCGTGCTGCTCACTTTTTTCCATCAGAGCACACCCCCGTTTGAGGTCCCGGGGGCCATTCTGTTTAGTGAATCTGTAGAATGTGAGCCCCCAGGGCCTTGACTTCCGGGTTCTGCAGGGCCCGTGTAGGAAGGAGATGCTGGATTTTTGCTTGCTTCATTTTGCTCATTTGCATATCTCCTGCCACCAACACCCAGAAGCAAGGCCCCCGGAAAGAGCTGTGGAGCGATTCCAAGCGAGAGCTACCTGAGAAAAGTCAGGCCCAGGAAGTGCCCCACAATTGGATTACTTTAAGAACCTTGTCAGTTGCTTCCCATTAGCCCTCACTGATCCGATGAGGGACAGACCGACCAGTCTCACATAGGGACCCAGCTGTTTCTCCCTTATAAACAGCACTTTTCTGTTAAAAGTGTTTGTCATGAAGGTTATGACAAATTATAAATTTCCTCTTCCAGCTTTGCTTTCGGGATAGTCCCATCGTGATTTCCAAGCTAGATTTATAAGGATCTGCTGCCTTAAAGTATGATAGTGAAATTAAACAACAATGAAATATCTCCAGTTGCCAATATTGTTTTATTTTCAGGAACTGCGTTCAAAAGAAAGCAGACCTCTTTTCAGAGGAAAGAAAGGCAATAAATGAGACATAACGATTTCCATTTGCCCCCAAATCCACAACCAGTAACCTTCCTAGGAGGGTTACTCGTCTATCAGCTATACCCACATGCAATCACATTGTGAGTATCTCACTCTTAAATATAAATGGATAGGAGGCAGAGCCAAGATGGTGGCATGAGTAGGACAGTGGGAATCTCCTCCCAAAAACATATATATTTTTGAAAATACAACAAATACAACTAATCCTAAAAGAGAGACCAGAAGACACAGGACAACAGCCAGACTACATCCACACCTGCGAGAACCCAGAGCCTGGTGAAAGGGGTAAGATACAAGCCCGGCCCGGTGGGACCCGAGGCCCCTCCCCCCAGCTCCTGGCGGGAGGAGAGGAGTTGGAACGGGGAGGGAGAGGGAGCCCAGGACTGCTGAACACCCAGCCCTAGCCATCCACACCAGAGCGCAGACACAGTGCATGCGTGGGGTGCTGGAAACTAGGGAAACAGGACAGTAAGACCTGTGAGCGGGTCCCGAAGCCGGCACCCCTGTGACAAAGAAAAGTGAGTGCTTTTTGAAAGTCTTAAAGGGACAGGGACCCCATAGCTGGACGGAAGCATCCTGGGTCACAGTCTAGCCCCTGGAAATTCCAGGGAACTGCGGGCACACTAACACCCTGGGCAACAGCTCTGAGACCCCTCACGGAGGTAAACAGCCAAACAGCCCCCCATCCATTACCCCTCTGGGGCCCCACCATAGCAGAGCAGCAGCCTGAGGCTAGCCATGCCCACAGCAAGGGAGCTTCCTCCATACCAGCTGGGAAAGATACAAAGACCCAGTCTACACGCAATTGCCCAACACAAGCCGCTAGGGTTCACAGTTGTCCCAGTAAAGAAAGGCCAGGAGCAAGTGGAAAGAGGCTTGACTCTCCCAGCTGATAGACACGTCAATAGCTCACCATTGCACCTGTCAACATGAAAAGGCAAAAAAATTTGATCCAGACAAGACTAACCCAGACAGCTTCGACATCTTCTACATCTTTCCCTGAGAAGGAACCTGGGAGATAGATTTAACCAGTGTTCCTGAAAAAGAATTCAAAACAAAAGTCATAACCATGCTGATGGACTTGCAGAGAAATATGCAAGAACTAAGGAGGGAGAATACAGAAATAAAACAAGCTCTGGAAGGACTTCAAAACAGAATGGACGAGATGCAAGAGACCATTAATGGACTAGAAAACAGAGAACAGGAATGCAGAGAAGCTGATATGGAGAGAGAGAAAAGTCTCCAGGAATGAAAGAATTTTAAGAGAACTGTGTGACCAATTGAAACGGAACAATACCCACATTATAGGAGTACCAGAAGAAGAAGAGAGAGAAAAAGGGATAGAAAGTGTCTTTGAATAAATAATTGCTGAAAACTTCCACAAACTA